CCTAATTCGCCCAATTAACCTTAAATTATGGTGTCTCGTGTCTTTATTTATCCTGGTGGGGGGCAGGAACTCGCCACGCAAGTTAAGTCCCAGGATCAATTCCAGGTATGTCTGCAAATGTTCCCTGTCTGAAATCCTGGGGAGCTGCTGCCAGACAGTTCAAGCCATACTTAGCTAGATGAACCAATGGTCTGAGCTAGTGCAAGGTGGCTTCCTATATTCCTCCTCTCTGATCTTTAAATCCCAAACAGGAAATCAGTGATTTAAACCAACACCTCCCTTCTTATTTGGGAGTAGGAGGCAATCAGCGGGAAATCTGAGATGTATGCCAAGTTCCAGGAGGCTCTTTGCATATGCAAAGCTTGCAGTTGGTCTACAGTCATGTTGCTCAGCCTCAAGGTACACAGTACATCAGAAGACCCAGAAGGATTCAGCTTTAGTGAGTGAGTGAGAGATCCAATCTCTGCAGCAGCTTTAGAGCAGACCTGGAAGTGGCTGAAAATTTGAAAAGGAAGTGGGGGGTCCCTTTGACACAGGCCTGACTGCTCAACCATAGGAGGGGGGAAATTGGATCAAAGCTGAATGCTTTGTATTTTTCTTGCACCATTTCCCTTGTTTCTTCCCCAAAGTTACTACTTATTTTTCTGGAGAAAATATGAAGGTACTTGTGCATTTCCCCCACTAGGGCAGTTAGTTTTGGGGGAGCAAACTAGGTCAGAGAAATGGCATGAAGAGGGTGAACTAACTCCCTCTCTTCCAGTGCCGATCGAATTCAGGAGCCCCATTCATGTCTCATCCAGTTTGGCCTTGAGTAAACATGACATGTACATAATAAGAGAATAAGAGAGGAAATCATACATTCTGTAATGTTTGAAGTTGTATCTCCCATAGCATTAAGAGTTGAAGTGAACTAGAGGGGAGAACAGACAACACTTCAATAATTCCTCATTACTGGTGTTAGACGCCAAGGTTAGCAAAAGAGGATGAGATTCCCATCAGGAAACCTGAATATGACCTTGTAAGTATTCAAATCCTCTTTATCCTCTGGAATCATCCGTACCTAGGGACTGCTGTATGTTTGTCAAGGAGTTTGTTTGCAGCTGCATGCTGGGTTGGTGTTTCCATACCTAATTATTGCAGCAGTCATAGCTGGAATTAGAGGATAATTCAAAATTTGGGATGAGGAAAAGGACGCTCAAGGAGAGAGGCATATGAAAAGGGTGCTGTATCTCATTAGATGGGTAACTCATTTTGTATTATTAGCTGGCTCTGAAAAGACCTCCTGCTTTCCTACCCTTTCTAGCATCTTTTAAGCTGGAAGCAGAACTAGCAGGAGGTAAAGCAGCAAATTTCCCTACTGCCCCAAAGTCAAGGCGCATAGTGCTCAGTAGTGGCCATGTTATTTTGAAAATACCGCAAGCACCTTCCTCTTCTTTGGCAATACCAAAACAATAATGATACATGAAGGCTGCAATCGTGGGAGCAAGCCCCAACTGAACTTTCTTCTGAGGCCATGGACGCAGGAGCGGAATCACCGAAACACAGTGCCCAAAACCTCCACCTCCCTGAGATGCTCCAGGATCTGATACTGTGCTTAACAGTATCAAAAGCCACTGAGTGATTGAGAAGAACGAGCAGAGACACACTCCCACCCCATCTCTCTCACAACAAATGTCATCAACCAGAATGACCAAGGAAGTTTCAGTGCCATGACCAGGCCTGAAGCCAGACTGAAATGGATCCTAGTACAGATCCTAGAACTTAATTCGTTACGGAGGTCCGTTCTTAACCTGAAACTGTTCTTAACCTGAGGTATCACTTTAGCTAATGGGGCCTCCTGCTGCTGCCGTACCACCAGAGCAACCTGAAGCAAAGTTCTTAACCTGAGGTACTATTTCTGGGTTAGAGGAGTCTGTAACCTGAAGCGTCTGTAACCCGAGGTACCACTGTAATCAGTTTCCTCCAAGCATGCCTGAAGCCAGACCACCAATACCACATACTCACAACACCTTGCCCACAAAGGGAACATTCACCATTGGGCAATAGTTATTTAGCATTTCATGGTCCAGGGAGGTCTTCTTAAGGAGGGGAAACAGCTCTGACAAGTTCTTTCCCATCACTTATCATCTGATTTTTGTAGCTGGAGTTGCCAGGGACAGAACCTTCTTTATACAAACATGTGTTCTGCCAATGAGTTATAATGCAGCACCCTCTTTGCATCTGGTGAGCCACTGTGAGAAAGAGGTTGCTGGGCTAGACGGACCTTTGAGGCAAAAAAACAACAAACCAGTTGGACTTGGAGCTTTAAAGTAAACCTAGAAATGTGGCACAAAAGAAAGTTTGCATTGCATATATGTTTCTCTTGAGCAGACAGAGACAGGACTAATTTGCATCCTGCACTTCTAGAAAAATTTCTATGGGTTCTTGTTGTCCCTTATACCACAGCCTTATTGTCTTGCCCAAACCTACCTGAAGGGCAAATTCTGTTAAATACTGTTTAATTCTACGTAAGATATGTGTATTTATGTGTGTATGCCTACACACATGAATATATATTTACCCTAAGTGTGTGTTTGTGCACATGTGCACATGTGTGTATATATATATATAGAGAGAGAGAGAGAGAGAGAGTCATTTTTCATAGTTGATCTCTGTAATATTTTTTTGCTTTGATGCTTCTAGCGATGGCCTGAAACACACTTGGTCTTATTACTTCCTAAATTGCTTTTGCCCCTATTCCTCAAGTATTTGCTCTCTGATAACAGAAATCTGGCCTCTTGGCTATGTTGTGGCAATATATATATATATACACAAATTTATCATGTCTTTATGTGAAAATGATAATGCTGTGTCACTGGCTCCTAGCGCTAATAAATCTTTGTTCTTTTCTTCCACTGCAAGCTACTACTGGAGCTACAATTTACTTTACACATTATTGGGGGTGCTACCACTTTTTTGCAAGTTCATCCTACTACCCAACTACACCAGTGGGTGTGATACAGCTGCTCTGGGAAGAGAAGGCAAGATCCAATTCACTCAAATTCACATTTGAAGCAAAAGTGGAGAAAATGCATATGGGGGGGGGCAAATATTTGTTTAGCCCTAAGCACTTATTCAGAAGCAGCAAGTCTCAATATCAATTGCTGGGGAACAACAGTGGGAGAGTGCTCTTGCCTTCATACCCTGTTTTGTGGGTTTACAATAGGCATCTGGTAGGCCAGTGTGATAAACAGGACGCTGGATTCAGGACTGGCCCAAGACACTGCAATGCCTGAGGCGAAGGACAACAAGCCACCCCCATTTCACATAAAATAAGCTGACAGAACTGCAAGCCCTTTCTTATTTTAATACTGGCATCCTCCTGAGGGCAGCAGCCTAGTTTAGGGGGCAGAGGCAGGCTGCTTCCCAACACCTCGCACCACGCCCTGCTTCCCTTCTGTTACCTGAGGCAGCCACCTCAGTCTATGCCTAATGATAGGGCTGGCCCTGAGGCTGGACTAGATAAGCCTTCAGTTTGATCAAACAGAGGTATGTTATGCTCAGTGAAATACACTCAAGAGTGTAATAAGCAGGGTAGCAAAAACCTGTCCATAACACAATCACACTCCTGTGGAAGACAGGACTGCCTGGCGTGCTCTGGTTCATGCGGTCACGAAGAGTCGGACACGACTAAACAACAACAACAACACAATCACCAGGGCAAAGTTACAAAAATAAGCGGAGGCATACAGAAACATGTCTATTCTCTTCCTTGGAGATTTAACAAGGAAGGGGCAACTCATTAATCTGGCTCGTTAATAAGGGGCTTCTGATAAATTAAACAGTGATGTCATTTCCCCAGAAGCTACTACCATGCACAGTCTCTCATGGTTCTAAACAATCTGAGATGCATAGACTTATTTTTGCATTGCAGCAAGTAACATCAGACCCTGCCAACACAGCGGCTGCTGTCTCAAGGGATATACATATAATCCTTTCCACATATAAGAAGGGAGTCTTTTATAACTCACAGTGAAGCTGCTGAAAATAAATAATGATGATGATGATGATGATGATGATGATGATAATGATAATAATAATAATAATAATAATAATAATAATATGTACACATGGGTTTGAATCTACTGGTCTCTGAGAAATAGCCCAAGGACTGTCAGCTTCACTCTCCTCTGAAGCTACTAAGCAACTAGATGACGAATTTCTGCCTTTACAGGCTCATAATGCCGAAGCATAAGTCATTCCATATAAAAAGCGAATCTAAATAAAATCTCCCACAATGAAGGATACATCAAAACCCAACACTTTTGTACCTTCACATACATGAACACAATGGCAACAAGCTCTTTAAAAATATAAAATGTATGCATAACTTACATATTGACAGCGGCATTTGGAAATCACTAGCTGCAATACCGCTGCATACTTTTTCTATTTTAAAAATATGCAATGCAACCTCTTAGCAACCTCTTTTCCAGAAACAGAAATTCAGCATGAAAAACAGAAATCTTACAGCAGGAGCTGGAAGTACTTTTCAGTGAAAAATATGCTATTTAAACCATGGCTGCTGCAAAGAAGGGGAAGATGCCTTTTAGATAACACCTCTGAATTTTGCAAAGGAACACAGCAAGACCGAGCTAATTAGGTGAGCACTTCACTCTCTCATTACGGAAACAGCATCTGATGGCTAAGAAGGGGAAATACAAACAGAATTCAAAAGAAAAGGCTTAGGGGGCTTGATCTAGCTATTTAAACATGCAGGCACATAAGCCTTGCAGATTCCAAAACTGGCTCAACGTCCATGTGAAGGAAATACAGGTTTTTGGTTTTTTAAAGAAGCTAAATGTTAAGGGGGTGGGGGAGATTAGAAAGCAACTTGCAAATCAGCAGATAGAGTATCTAACTGAACACTTGCTCAGCTTGTTAAACCACAGCAATCTCTTTAACGAATCACATTGAGGTTGGGGTTTTTGTTCGGTTGGTTTTTTTTTGCACAGACTTACTTTAACTGCCGAGGTTCACAGTCAACTCCTGGTAGCAAAAGCCTGGCTGCTTGCCGTACATCATCACTGTCCAGGGAGAAACTGCGACGGTGCCCTGCATGAGCCAAAGCTACTCTGATCCATTCCATCAGAGGTGGCAGCACAATGAACGGCCTAGGAAGAACAAGACAAAGAAGCTATTGCAGTATATTGTGTGCTGCGTAGAATATTTCTTACCTGCCCTTCAACGTTGTTACAATACTATAATCAAACAGTTATAAAAAAAAGAAGTTAAACAGTTTACAATTATAAAAACAAGTGAAACAGTAAAAACCTTTCTAATCCAAACAGAACAGTATAGATTCAACAAAAGAAGTAGGTTTCACAGAACAAAACATCTTAAAAGCCAGGGTAATGATATCCATATCTATACTAGAGGCAATGAAAATTATTGCAGAGAATTTGTAAGGAACTGTAATTGGAACAGTTGAATTGGCTTCGCTAAGACAGCAAGTCCCCAAACTTTGCTCACAGGTCAGTGCTCTTTTCTAGAACATATACATTGCGGGGAGAGATTTCCACGCTTCTGTATCAACCTGAGTCTTATTAAAACCTTCAGACCCCCAATCACAATGAAAACGGCCACCGGATTTCTTTAAAATCACTAAAGTACCTTTTTGCCAAAGCTCTGCCTGCCCAACCCCAGATCAAAACAGGGTGAGAGGGAAGACCGTTCACTCCCCCTTCTTGAATAAAAGGCAACAGAAGCTTAAAAAATGACATTATGAAACTTTAATTTCAAAACTAGTGTAATGCCAAACCTGGTCCAGAATATGATTGAACTTAAGTCTGCCCAATCTTAAAAATACACTTAAATTACCAAGAAGGATGACCCTGTTACAGTTTTCATGAAAAACCAGTATCTTTCTTTTCAGGCTGCTATTAAGAGAATGTTTTTCAGGATGACAACCACTGATCTTGAGCAGGAAGATCCAGGAATGTAATGGGGTCTCTTACTGTAATTCTAACATTGTAGCATGCCCAGTGGCTTGCAGGAAGGTGAGCACTTCCGACTCTCATCATGAAAAGAGCATCTGATGCCTGTGTAAAAATCTACTGGGGAAATGAACATACAAGATAAATAATGCAGTTTGGGAAACCCAGTAGAAACCTTGCTGTGCGCACACAAAACTATGCACACACCTGAATGGTCTCTCCCGTTATAGGTAGCAATGCAACTGAAGTTTGGAATTGGGGCATTTGGCGGATTAACTTCATCAGTTTGAAATATCTGGGCTAACTATGAGCTGAGCCCAAACTTCTTACTCTATTTTCCTACCACTGCAGCTCTTGAAACTTATTTATTTTGTTTTTATTTATTTTATTGATTTCTTACATTTATATCTCATAAAAAGAGACATATTTGATCCCACTTTAGAACAATTCCACTCCACACTGCAATCCTTTGTTGTCATCTTTATTTTCAAGCAGTTGAAAACCTCATAGATCCAAGGAGAAAATAGGGTAGATTTCCTTCCCCCTTATTTTCAAGAGTTATATATGATCACTGCAGCCATTCAAAATAATAAGAAAGCTTTCAAGAAACTCCCATTCAACCCACCATGGCTTGTTCAAAACCATTCTCAATCAATTCTGCTCATAATCACCAGCCTCAGTCACCCTGAAGGACTCATTTTTTATTCAGATTCTCTGGTAGGCCCATCTTATTTTGAATTCTTAGTTTCTCAGCTCATCACAGCTCTTGGTCTATTCAATTTTTCGCCCTTTTTGTATGAAAGGTGTTCTGAACCTGGCTGGGTGCCCTATCCCACAAGCCTCCCCTCATAATAATTACCCTTGCATACTTTAAACTGACTAGACCAGGTTTTGTTTTCTGAGCCAGCAAAGGAAGAGTGGAGCACTTATTTGGTTGAATTGGATTTTATTATCCTGCTCCAGCCAGGTGTAGATTTATCATTTCCCTACAAAAAACATCACCAGGAGGTTAGGGAGAGTCACAGGTTGCCTCAGGCAATCTTCTTTGTAGTCTAGGCTAAAGGGTGCTCCTCTTGCCCCACATACACAAACCGAAGACAAAGATGCAGAGTTCTGGGGAAAGGTGTGCTCAGGTTTATGACAAAAATGATGACCTCACTAGGCTTCTTACAGGTATTGCATGGTATAACATTTCCAAAAGGAAAATGTGTGTAAGGACAAAGGGGGATTACCCCACATAGAAAGCAACTGCAGTTTTGGATGAGGTCCTGAACAAATATGACCTGAACTGGGAAGATGAGGATGGCAAAACAGCGGATTACACCAGTTGCTAGCAAGAAATGTCACTATGATGGTCTTGGTGAGACTTCACTTTGGTTCTTTGTCTCTCATCATTGTTTTCTAAGGCAGAAGCAGCAGAAAGCTACATTGCTGAAAGGACCATTTTTGCCACCAAGTGGCTGAGCTCCTGTGATGCTATGGGATGTTCATAAACATTCAATATGCTGCCCATCTTCAAAGTTTGAAAAATAGCCACCCCCACCCCCACACAAACCAAGGGTTGCCATCCTTTTTGGACTACCAAACACATTTTGAATTGTGAAAGAGTGCTGGAGGTGCCAGTCACAAAATGGCAGCCATGAAGAGGGTGAGGCATAAAACAAAATCAGAAGGACACCCCCCCCCCCCGGAGTGGCTAGGGAAACCCAGTCAGATGGTTGGAGTACAAATATCATCATCATCTTCATGTTTACCATAAGAAGACAGCTAGGTCCTGTTGGTCTTGATTATGGTGATCTCACGAATACACACAAACACTGCTGCTGCTGCTGCTGCTGCTGCTGTCGTCTAATAACAGCAGGGAGAATTCCTCAAAACCAGAAAAAACATACAAGGTAACCCCACCACCCTCACATAAATCACTTCGAAATTATCTGCACAGATTGCCCCATAACTTTCTTTCTAGGAGGGCTACAGACTTACTGAAAAAGAAAAAAGCTCAAGATTCTGGAGCACCTGCTCAGGGCATGATGGGAAGCATTCACAGGCACCTTAAACTATGCATGGCTTTTAAAAAAATCTGCAAGATTATTTATCACCTGTTGAATGTCTGTCTCTACTCCATACTCACTATATATAGCTTTAGAGGCCTATAGGCAGCCCAAAAACCTGGCTACCAATCCAAAGTGGACTGATAGGGAAGTACTCTTCTGTCTTCCATGATTGCTCCATGAGCAACTTAATCTACATTGACAGTGGTGGTGGTCAGTGCTGGGAAGAGTGCCTTTAGGAATACAGTTTCTGAGTGTGTTTTTTAAAAAACCTGATGGAGATATGATTTGGGAAGAGAAGTCCCTTGGTCCACCACAGAGCCTCTGATTAGTATGTATGCTTCCAGCCAAAAAGACGGGCAGGACATGTTTGGTATGATATTTAAACCATGCAATCAAAGAAATGCATAAATGATAGATGAACAAGCAGCTAGAACAAGGCTTTGCCTTGGGGACAGAAGAGAGAAGTAAAGGGAGAAAGTGTAGACTCCCTAGGCACAAAAAGGAAGATATATAGATTTCAAGATATTGACATTTTATTCCAACTGAAGCAACAATGATTAATAAATAAAGCTTTCAGTGCAATCCTATGCATGTCTGCTGGGACTTATTCACAGGTAAGAACACAGGATATCTCAGTGCAATGTCCAGTGTTGACAATGAAATTATTTCCCCAGGCAAAAGACCAAAGTCTATGCAAGTATCACAGGAGTCTTTTGGAAAGCATATCTGCTCCATGACATCACTGATAATGAGCAGCGCAACTGATTTCTTCATGCCTGTACCATATTGTGGTATTGTGGCCATCTCAAATTCTGGGGTAAGACTTCCTTGCGGGCACAAGACACCTGAAGGGAATACATGAAGGTCCAGAGCAGGATCCAGTCCTTAGGGAGATGGAGCATTCCTCCCTGTCAGGATCCACGTTTACTTGGATTTCAAACTGGAGGAGGCATCCTCTGTTGAGGTAGAGCAGGATATTGAGGAGTCAGTGTCTACAGAGACAAGGCCAGAAGCTGATCCCTTGGATGACAACACACACACCCTAAAGCTCCAATAGCATGGATCTCAATGCCCTGGGTCTAGGAAGAGGGTTAAACCTCTCTGTGAGGGAATGAGGTGTTCAAACAACTCCCAACATCCTGAAGAAACTACAGTTCCCGGTATTCTTTGGGAGAAGCCATGACTGTTTAAAGTGATACAATACTGTTTAAAATGTATAGTGCAGGTGTGGCCATGGTTAGGATAGCTATGCTGGCCATTTCTTTTTCTAGATTAAAAAGCCTCAAATATGGTACCCATTCATTTTGGGCAAGATGAAAATTTTATAGGCACAATGTGAAGAAATAGAAGTGTTTCATCCACTGCAACCTCCTTTCAGACTTTGCCTCAAGACTTCTGCTGGACTTGCTGCTGAGATGAAACTGTCAAACAGCTTCTCCAGGCTTTGGCTTCGGAAGATCAGTGTTAGCTCTCAGGAAAATCCTCTCTCTGCAGGCTTTGCATTTCCCTTCTTATGTGCTGGAGCACACAACACTGAGCCTTTTTATTTCTTCTTTTTTTTAAAGGGTCAGCAACAAAGCTATGCTCTGCCCATGCAACATGACTGATGCTCACCCATTAAGAAATTGTTGTTGTTTAGTCATTTAGTCATGTCCGACTCTTCGTGACCCCATGGACCAGAGAACACCAGGCACTATTGTCTTCCACTGCCTCCCGCAGTTTGGTCAAACTCATGCTGGTAGCTTCGAGAACACTGTCCAACCATCTCGTCCTCTGTCATCCCCTTCTCCTTGTGCCCTCCATCTTTCCCAACATCAGGGTCTTTTAAGAAATAAAATTATGTAATTTTGCTTTGCTGTTTCTGAATCATGACTACCTTGAAGATGTACCTTGAAGATGTGAAATTTGAACTGACCAAATTTCTCCTCCATTCCTGCTGTCTATCCTGACTGATAGCAGCTCTCTAGGTCTAGGGCATAGTTCTTTCACATCAGCTGTTACCTAAGCTCGTTTTAACTGGAGATACCAGGACCTGAACTTGGGATGTTCTGCAAGCAGAGCATTTGCTCTGGGACTATGCTATGCTCCCACTGCCCTTACAACAAAAGAGCACCACTAATACCA